GGTGAGAAGGATGGGCTCTGACCAACGCAGGCAGGATGGACTCCCATCATCCTCAGCTGGCTGGCTGGCAGCTGTGAAAATACCCCTGTAGTCAGGGAGTCCTTACTCTTTTGTAGCTCTGACTCACTGAAGTTGTCCACAGCCAGAATACACAGCCCTGCTGCCAGCTTTCCTCTATGTCTCACCCCTGTTCTGTGGGCTGAAGGGTAAATGATGGATTTGGGGGAAACAAGAAAGAATGGAGCCTTCTGAGTCCCTAAAGGAACCTGGCAGGGAGATGGAGAAGCACAGACATGGCCGTGTCCAAACTTCCCTGTAAATGAGTGATTTTTGAGAGGTAAAAATTTCCACAGTTTTGTGTACAAGCCTGAAGGTGTTGGAAATCCCCAGATCATCCTGGTGGGGACAATAAAGGACTGCATGAAGCTACACAAGAACATTCAGAATCTTCCCGAAAATTTTGGCGCATATGTAGCTGTCACTTGGCAATTATGTGCTTTTTTCATATGAAACAAGCTGTCAGCTGAAGGGCTGTTGGCTGCTGTGTTACATGTGTTATATTTACAAAGAAATTTTATAAGGTGATAGGCTGAGCAACAGTTTGCAAATGCAAGCTGAATGTATTTTTTATATCTGTGTCTGTGGGATGTTCTGTAGAATGAGGCACATTAAGGATGACTGACACAGATTGTGTTCTTAATTTGCCACTGACCTCTTAATGCACTCTGAAGTTCTGGAGATAAAAGCAAAGATGGGATGGACTTCATTGGTGCTAGAAAGTTGGTTCAGCCACTACAGCAAGACTGATGTAAAGAACTGCTTAAACCTAGATAATGTGAATGGAGCAGAGATGGTTATGAATACTCTTCCAAATGGGAATATATTTCCAGTTCAGGAAATGAGATATAGATTTGGATGTTCTGCTTAAAAAGGGAAGGAAAAAGCTGCAGACAGTGGTTTTTGTGTTTTGGGTTTTTGGTTTTTTTTAATTTTGGGGTTTTTTTAAGTTAAAATGAATTTTCATTAAAAATATTGATGCTTCCAAGTCGTTGGGAAATTTTCTTTCTGGTCAACACTTTCTGGCTTTTTTTTCCAGGCCTCAGTCACTGAAAAATGAGTCCAAAGAGGAAAGGCAGCCCAAGGCAACCCAGCTAAGTCCTGCTGGAGAGGAGAAGAGAGAAGATGGCAAGAGAGCTGAGGGTGAGCTGGCTGCAGAACGAGGGAATGGGCTCTGTTCTTTGCTGGCAGAGCACCTGCAGAGGATGTGGTAGCAGCCCTCAGACAACACTAAATGTAGATCTGCCCCAGAACAGAGTTAGGTGCAGAATGTTTGTGGAGTCCAGAGCAAACTGTTGGGTAGCTAGCCCATGAGTGCCATGCTGCCAGGACTGCCCAAAGCTGGCAGCTCCTGGTGTGTGCAAGGGGCAGCTACACCCACACAGGCTGCAATCACAGCTGGCCAGTACAGCCACCCCACAGATGCCTTTGGAGCCTACAGAATTTCCGTAGGTCCTGACTTGTCTGTGGGCCACAGTGCTGGAAGAAAAGTTCATCAGTAATACATGCTCCCGTTTTATCTGAACAAGTCCCTTCACATCCCTGTTTTTGCACCAGCTTGCTTTCCACCGGGCATTATCACGAGTCAGCACAAGGCAGTTTTACTCCTGCCCTGCACAGTGCTGCCTGCAGCCACTTTGGGCTGGGGGCTTCGAGTTCACAAGGGCGATACAGGCTCTGGCAAGACAGTCAGGCAGAGTTTAATTTCCTAACAGAGATACAATCTAAACAGCTACAGATTTTCTGGGCATTTCTGCGCCTTTCTGAGCCTCTTGTGTGGCAGCAGGAAGCTGCACTGCCTAGTGCAGCATTTACCCAGGTTTTCCAAGAGGGAAATGTGCAGCAAATAAAGAACTGGGATGCAAAAGAGTGGCAGCTGCTTTAGGACTGTTAGAGAGGCTCTTTTACGGACGAATGAACCGTCAATTTGTAGTAAGACATTGTTTTCTAAACATAGCATGAAAACTGTTATCTTGCCTGGCTGGTCATTAGAAGAGAGATAATTATAGTCTCTGTGCCACAGCCGGGCCCAGAACAGGGGCTGCATTGTCCCAGGTCCCAGCTGAGCTCTAGCACAGGCTCCCCAGGCAGCGCTGGGACAAGGGGGCTCCTTGTGCCCCGGCAAGTTCAAAAGAGGAATTGAAGTGCTCTAAGTAGGTGTTAAGCACCTATTTCTCTCTCCGACTCTGGACTTAAAAATCTGCTCCACAAGAGAAAGATGTGCAGGGCAGATCCATGACGACTGTAGCTGCATCCTCCCTACTTTTTGTGCAATACATGCTGTGATTATTATTTTTCTTTTATTAGAAGAAGAAATCAAACCCCAAACCTTCAGTTTTGCGATTCTGCATTTATGTTTAACACAGATTAATGGAATCTGTATGATAGACAGATTTTTAGATGGAAGGACACATTATATGTTCAGTCTCCACTTCCTGAGCCCTGAATGATAAACCTAAACCTCAGCTGATGCTGCAGCAAGCTGGAGGAGTGCTGGTGTGTAGCCAGAGCTTCAGGGGCCAGAACATCCCTCCAGGACTGCCAGGAAATTCCAGACTTTTGTTTTCCATTACCCATCCAGAAAAGACACTGCCACTCCAGCCAATTGCATTGGGCCAACACACACCTCGCTGCTCTGGCCCCTGCCCATGCCAGTCCCACTATACAGGCAGTTTGTGCCTACAAGTGCCACAGCACCTTTTTTCAGGAATACAGTCATAGTTGCAGGTAGTAAACTGAGTTATCACATTTTCTTGCTCATTTCAACCAGATGCCTTAATTGACTTACCTATCAACACTTAAACTGTAAGAGAATAGGTTTAGATTAGATATTAGGAAGAAATTCTTCACTGTGAGGGTGCTGAGGCACTGCCACAGCTTGTCCACAGAAGTTGTGGATGTCATGTGAAGTGTTTTCTGACTAGAGCTTTATTTGTGGTTCAGAGGGGGAAAGCAAAAAGTTCAAAATTCTCCAGGCAGGCCAGATACAGTCAAGTTTTTTATGCCATTGTTACATAAACATCAAGTTTATTTTTAGCTATGTTTTCTAAGAAGCAATGGCCAGAAATAATAAATAATTCTGACATTTTACATGAAATAATTGGCCTGGTTTTCAGCTTCTGAGTTCACCCCGTGGCTCACCCTTTTAGAAATACTCCAATTAATTTTGACAAAAAGGAGTGTAATAATTAATTTCCTACTACTTCTGTGAAAGTCAGTAACTAGGTGAAAAGGCTTGAGGAGGCTTGTTAATGCCTCCTCCAAAGGAAAGGCTTTTAGGATCTTATCCTTTTTAGACAAAAGAGAATCCAAGAGGAGTACATTTTTGCATTCCAAGTGTGAGGAATTGTGTGAGGTGTAGCTAGTAAAACTGCTTGGTTCAGCCAGTCAGGGGTAAGTGCTGTAATTACACCACTAGGGTATAATTAGTAGTGTCTTACATTAAGTAAAGGTAGGAACAGTTAAAGACCAAGTTAAGAACATAATATTACTACTACAGGTGGAAACATAGTATTGGCAGTACATTCAAAGTTTCTTCTTAAAAAAATACTTTTTATGTGCTGAGTAACTAAAAGACAGGAAGTCTTTTTTGTCATCCCAGTGAGAACAACGCAGCAACTCAAAGGATTAAGTAAAACATGCAAGCAAAGTAAGTCTGTTTAATATAAGATACTAACTTAGTATTTGAAAATCAATGTGTTTGTAATGCAGTTATTTTTGCTTGAGTTCTCTTTACATCTCTGAAAGAGATCAGTCCTAGAGCCACGACTGTCATTCAAGTGATGAACTGAGTAAAGTCTGAAGAATGTGATAACACAGAAAAACATAGATTTTATTTGAGTGTAGACAACTGCAAAGTGTTTTTAACTTCAGGATGTATATAGGAAAACACAAGTTGTAAACATATACAACTCCATGGCTTTTCTCAGGAAAATGTATTTTAAAAGAGATGTAACCAAAATTTTCTCTGTGTGTGTTTTCGTGTTTTGATGCTTTGTTTAAATTTTGGAGAGGTTAGAGAAAAAACAGTATGCTCTAAGGAGGACTTGCATCTGTAATATGTAATTTTGCTTTTTGCTCTGAATGTGGTGTAGTTCCCATAAACTCTAGGAACAAAATATTAACTAGAGTTGATATTTAGCTTGGGGCATTTGGTTCATGTTTGTACTGGTTGGAAAGAAATCGCATTTTGAAGAGACTTATCAGGACTCTAATCTCTCTGCAGAGAGCTGAGTGGCTGTGGCAGGCTTGACAGTGCTATTCATTTTTGGAGCCTCACCACCAAAACAAGCACTCAGCACAAAAGGATGTATGGAGTCTAGGCTACTGTACTGTTCATACATCTCTATCTATCCATTACCAAGAGAGCTCACACCACAGAAGCACACATCACTGGAATAATACCATTTTCCATTCTGTGCCTTGGAGATTAGTATTCCCCAGTGCCAGGTAGTGTTTATTAATGATACAACACACACCTTCCTATTGATCAAAAAGACTTTGTGAAAAGGTTTTGAAACCAAAACAGTTTTAAACAGAGGAACAAGTTGCATTGTCTATAACAAACTATTTGAACAGAAGGCTTGAATAAATGTCTATTGGTGTGTGGCTTATAAACATCATTCTTTATCACATAGTTAAGCTCTTGCTGTTCAGGCAGTGAGTATATGTGTCCACTTTAACAGTAGGAGCTTAATGCTTTCATAAATACTTTATGAAGTATATATGAGTAAAGTACAGTTTTATTCTAGTTTTATTCTACATTTATGTCTTAATTTTCTTAGGTCTTTGATCCTAAGCACACAGCTGGAATGCTAAATAAAACATTATGTCCCTACAGTTTCTCATCAGTGAAAATATTTGACTATTATCAACAGGCAGAAAACACAACTTCCCCCTCTCCCCCCTAAATAAATATAGCAGAAAAACAACATCAGAATTACCTTGTTTGAAGTGTGCAACTTTTTATTCCTTTTCTCCACACAGTATGAAAGTGGGTTTTTTTCCAAGCTTTTCTGTATCCCAAACTCCAGCCAACATTATTCTAGAGAAGGAGAGGCAGGCAGCAGAGGGAGGCCTGGACACCTTTTTTCTTTCAGAGAGGAGCTAATCAAACATTCCCATCAAGCTCTGAGCTCTGTGAAAGGCACATTGCTCTCTCTCTCCCCCCCTCCCTCCCTCTGCTCCTCTCTCCCTCCCTGTCTCTCTCTCTCTGTCTTTCCCTCTCCCTCCCGCACACACAGACTACAGAGCTCCTTACACTGATTTAGCAGCTGAATTAGGCGGTCCTATTTTAAATATACGTTCCCTCCCACATATTTTTGGTAGGGATTTCTACACTCCTTTTGCACTAGCCTGTCAGATTTGTCAAGTTTTTCTCTTTTGGGAAGTGAAGCTTTACTCAACTGATGTTGTGGCTCATTTTTTTTTCAGTCTGCCCGTGCAGTTCAGCACTGTTGTGAAATGATGAGAACTAGTAGATGAGAGTAAACCACACAGCCTTAAAGATTATAGCTACCAGATTAATTAGATGCAGATCAGGTTTAAAGAGAAAAAATATCTTTTGAAGAGACAGACTGTGATGCCTTTACTTATGTGAATAGCATCGTATTCCCCCAGCAGTTTCCCTGAAGACAGAGGATTAGTTACAGAATAACTCTGTGAGTCTGGGCACAGAGAAGTAGAAGTATGGCATGAGGGTTCTTTCTGATGAAGTTGGATGTGAGAATTTAATAAAATTCTCTCAAAGGCTGATAAAGTGGTACTTTTAAAGTGTGACCTGGCCAAATGAGATATAGAAAAGGACTAGTTTCTTTAAGTATCTGTATGCAGATCTCCTAAAATTCTTTAAGAATAACTTTAGGGTAACTTTAAGAAGAAAAATACATTAAGATAATGAAGATCATAGCATTTATGGGATTATCACAGAAAGTGCTGGTATTTTATTCCAGGATACTAGAATGTAAACTATAATTTGCAATTCCATCTAGATATTCAGAAGTGTATAGATAACATCCATGGGTGAATATACCCTGTTTAATCTAAGGTCATTATGGCTGAAAAAAAATCTAGTATAAATACAGGAGATTGACTTCAAAACACACATTAGAAAGCCATATAGTTCCTGATTTAACAGTCTCCTAAATACATCTAGTTCAAAGGGAAGGTGATGACCTGGTACTTATAAATATCTACTCCAGTACCTGCAGAAACTGTGTAACAGCTCAGCATATTAATAAACAGTACAATATCAAAAGTTTATCAACAAGCTCCAACTGTGTTACTAAGATATAATGATCCATAATTCATTTGATTCTCTTAATACAGGAGCTCTGGCTTGTCATGGTGAGTCCATGCAAATCAGGATGCAGTGGACTGGCAAAAAACCTCTTCAGACAGCAAATCTGTTAGCAGTTCTGCCTAGAAGATCTACTGGAAAAACCTGAAACACTGTCCTATGTCTTAGTAATTCAAATTAACAATTTCAGGATATCATCACCTTTTTCATAAGGCTTTGTGAGGTTTAATTATTCAGTTAATGAAGGACAACAGGACTGAGACCTTAGCACTACAAGTTTAGAGGTGTATAGGTACAAAGGGATAAATATCTAAATATTGGGGTTCTGTAGCTAAGTGGCTATGTGCCACTTCCCAGTGCTGGTGAAAGACTGAAGTCTCCATGACAGCTCCTTACCTGCAGATGCTGATAGATCAAAAATCTTTGGGCACAGACCTTCGCTGGTTTTAGCCACTTACTTTCCATTCAAGCAGCTTATTTTCAGATATCCATGGGAATCTATGTAGATGTTGATTAGCCTGTACTACTTTACAGTGTCAGGTCAGTGGGTTACCAATCTTGATCTCAAACCAGTGCAAGTGAGAGGAGTGAAGACAGAGCTTCTGGCAAACCAAACCATGGTTGGGTGGCAAAGGCACCTGCAGAGCATGCAACAGGACTGCATCAAACTAGCTGGACTGGTGTTGTTGACTGATAGAACTGAGAAGCCAGACACAGCAGATGATTGGGATGACCGGTACAGGCAAAAAGTCCTCCTGAGGTTCAGCTTCTGCTGCCTGTGTCAGCTCACTGAGGGTTGTAGCTGTTGGCATGCGGAACGTTGTCGACACGGTGTCAAAGCAGAGCAGCAGCGCATGACCAAGGTCATGCTTCTTTGTTGTTGCTGCAGGGTGGCAGTTTTACAAAAGAAACAGCTGATAGATCCACTTCTCATTTTCCATGGATGAATTATCTTATTTGTGGGGAAATTATACCACGGGCAAAAAGCCAGCGTGGTCCTGGCAGGACTTTGCTCAAATGCAGTGGTGTGAGAACACAGCTTTGTTACTTCCAGAAACACAGCAATGGTGCAACACTGTCCACTCTGCACCCACCTTACTCTCCCAGCCTTGCTGGCTCCATTGCTGGCTCGGGGTCAAGTATGCTGCCAGCTGGGTGGCACATTTCTGCATTGCTGCCTGAGAGCTAACCTGGCATCCTGGAAATGAGCATCCCAGGAACTGGGAAACACTGAGTAGGCAGAAAAAGAAAACTATCTGGTTTGTTATTATTCAGGGTATTCAGCCTCTCATTATCGATTGTAATGGAGAACTGAAGAGTATCAAAACAAAAGACTGAGGAGGGCACGGACTGTCTCTTTTTATCACAACATTTCTGAGTGCCGTCGCCTGTGCTCTTTCCTGACAGAGGCAATTTCCAGCCACCCAAGAGCTGACAACACAAAGAGCAGAAACAAGAGGTAGACCACACTGAGTGGCTCTACCTTGGTACTGGGATTTGCCACAGGGAAAGATTTGTTTGCAAAAGACATGGCTGTGCAGTCAGGAAGCCACTAATTTGACGACAAAAGGTATTGAACATGATTGTCTAGGGGATGGACAAGTGTTCATGTCTTCCACCATTGCTTCTAGTCTGAGGCCTTCACCTCAGTTAGTTTTCTGCTAACTCTTAGTAGTATTTGTGGTAGTAGTTTTTAAGTTTTACTGTGCTCTATTTTCATGTGTATGTTAGTTAAAGCAGGATTTATCATGATCCATTGAAACAAAGCCTGAAAGCAAAAGAATTCAGACCTCTTATCTGTCCCCTGAAGCAGCCAGTGAATAAGACCAGAGAGTCAAAGAGAGTTGAGAAGGTTCTTTAGTTTATGGAGGAAATGTAGTGACCTACTCAGATATTACCTTCACTCTGGAAGATAAAACAGCAGAAAGAGAGATATGATGTATATAGGCATTGTTAGCTCTGAGAGAGAAGATAATACCTCAGTAAGGAAGTTTGGTATTTTCAAACAGACGTGGCAGCAACCTGGAGGACCAGACACTTGCTGATGGACCTTAGTCACAGACTCTTAAATAAATCTGCATTTTGAGATCATCTGTCATGCAGAATTTTCAAGGTACACAGTGTTGGTTTAAAAAGCATTGCTTTGGGTAACAGCTGGATGGTAGAAAACCTGACTTCACTGAAGGGCAGTTCACTGAACTTAATCTAATCCTCATTAAAATCTGACTTCAACAATTTTTAGCAAAACATTTTTAATAACATAACTAGTGGACTTACATATTTCAGCCAACACAAAAATGTAGGATTCCTCATGCTTCCTTCTATCTGCATGCAGTTATTCACAGGTAAATGAAATAGAGAAAACCTCCCCTATTTTGAAATGCAATTAAACTCACATGTTCTGGGTTTCATGCTCACCAGCTGGCATGGCCCCTGATCTGAGAAGAGGCCACTGTGAGGGAACCATCAGAGAAAGCTGTGGATTTGCACTTCTTGCGCTTACATGTCCAAATTCAGCCCAAGTTCATTACTGACTTGGTCCATTATCTTTTGATCATAGCTGGCCTTTCTGTAGTGATTCACATGAATAGGTCAAACTTTTGTTGAAAGAGGGAGAGAAAGGTTTTACTGTATAGTAGGTTCACAGAGTAGGTCAAAATTGAAGTGAGAGCAGAGGATGGTGATTTTAAAGGCCATGAATTGCTTCCAAGAGGTCTGTGCAAAGGGTTGACAGGCATATAGGTCCTGTGGAGCAGGTGTGTGCTGCAGCCCAACCCATTCTGTTCATCTCCCCAACACTCAGGAGGAATTTCTGGCTCCACTGCTGTAGGCACAAGCAAAGAAAATACTCTTCAGGTATGTTATAAAACAAGATATGCCTGCGTAATTTTTAGAGAAATAGAAACTTTGTCTGGGATTTTTTCCCCACTAGAAAGTAGAGAGTTTCTCACATACCAGATCTTTGCCCCACTTGTGGGACCCAAGGCACACACTTCTCGTCTGGCGTGAGGCTGTGGCCACTCTTCTAAAACCATGAAATCCTTTGCTCTCCAGGTATGGGTAGGATATATATGAGGCTCAAGACTGAACTAAGTGGCTTGTGATCATTACACAGAAAGTGCTAAATGTATCTTCTCAGCTGATCAGTGTGGGTTTAGTAAGGCAGTCCTGACTCTGCATACAAGGACAGAAAACAGACAAATTAAATGATTTCTGCAAGACAACATGTAGCTATGTCACATCTAATCCCATCCAGGTGCTTAAACGGAAAGGGAAAAGTTTTCTGCTCTCAAGCAATTACCCTCGAGCCTTTCAAACAAATATTACCACAGGAATCAGTGAGCAGAATCTTACAGCACCCCAAGATGTCACGCACAGCCTGGCAGTGCTGGCTTTGTTCAAAGAGAGCATGGTTGCACATGTTAGAATTAACTCCTAACAAGAGGAATTCAAATTCTGCAAATTTTCCACATTTCTCAAACTCCAATAAATAAAATCTTAACTTATGCATTATTATACTTAAGGCAAATTCTTCTTAAAAACAATTTATACCTGAAAAAAAAAGTGAGAGAGAACAGAGTGGGAAGTTAAAAGTATAATTGGGATGGCAAGGCAACTAGGGAGTTAACATTGTTTGGCTTTAGCTGCTTAGAGCACTTATATTGAAATGGGCCTGAGGTAAATAAAACAACCAATGTCTTGTAAGGCTTATATAAAATACATTGATGTGCTTGTCTAGTTTTTGAGAAAGGTAGAGGCTGAATTATGTATGCTGTAGCCCTTGCCAGCATCAGAAACATCTTTAAATAATTAGAGCAACTGGGTAGCCAGGGCTCTGTTTTTACTTTTTTATGAATGAGGA